TCAGGATTCTGTGAATGCATTAAGGACAGATAAATATTGCTATTCCATTGCTTTTATTACCACAGTGTAAGCTCAGACCTCAGCCCTTATACATTTTTGGATTCACTGCTCACTTTTCTAGGCATATTAATTCATTAATTCATTAATTCATTAATTCATTAATTCATTAATTCATTAATTCATTAATTCATTAATTAATTAATTCATTCATTCATTCATTCATTCATTCATTCATTCATTCATTCATTCATTCTATATAGCTGCCCATCTCACAGTAGTGACTCTGAGCAGCGAACCAAGGGTTAAAAACAAAAAGGGTTAAAAACAAAAAGGGAAAACAACACAATTTAAAAAATACACACACAGAGACAGACACACCAAGCAATCCAGAGAGCACACGCCCATGGTCTAAAGAGTTACTCCAGTTTACAGTCAATAAAAAATACAACAGCCAGACAAAATTGTAGAGGATTATGGAGATAACCCTGAAGAAAGAATGCAAGAGGGATTAAATAAACCACAATTTAGCCCTGAGAAATGGGATGAGAAAGAAACTCAAGATTACCCCATCCTGATTCTCCCTGGTATAAGAGGGGACAAAAGAAAACTCTGACAGGCTTTCAAGATTCCATTATTAAACCCTACAGCGGTGGTTCTTAAACAGTTTGACCCAATTCCCCCTTTGCCCGCTCTTGAATAATGTCATTGTTCCCGCAAAAAACCCAGACTTTCTCGTTTTCCCCAAGTGTCTAGGCAGCAGCAGTCCCAAACTGGATCCTTGACTCACAAACAAGCCATTACAAATTGCTCCTTTACCCCCAGGATATGCCCAAATGACCCCCTTGGAGGTAATTACACCCCCTCCCCCGCCACCCAGTTTAACAATGAAGTAGAGTTCCAGTAATCTTTGCAGTGTCTGTTTCCAGACCTGGCTTATCCATGCTTCCTCTCAGCATTCATCTGAGGTAAATGCTGCCTTTGATCCATGTTTATGCTTTTCAGTCGCTTTCTGTTGGTCAAACCAGCATGTTCTGGCAATATTTCAGACTACAGAGAACTGCATCTAAGCAATCTGCAAGTAATAAGAGTAAAAATAAAAAAATAAACATAAGAACAATAACCACTTCCCCAATGCCAAGAAATAATCTCCACATATAACATTCATGCTCTGAGGGAACAGAACACAGCCACCCTCAGACCTGATAAGCTTCTTGAGAAAAATCAGGTCTCAACACTTTTGCAAAAGGCCAGGGAAGCTGGAGTCTGTCTGATGTTGGGGGAACACTGTTCCAGAGGATGAGGGCACTGATGGAGAAGGCCCAGCTGCAGGATCCCAACTGTTGGGCTACAGGAGCCTGATGGAGCCCTTTTCCAGCTCTGAATGGATAGGCAGAAACTGTTGAGAATAAGCAGTCCCATAGATATACAGGTCCTAAATGATAAAGGTCTTTAAAACTGAGAACCAGCACCTTGAAGTGCAACCACAAGCAAACTGGTAACCATGCAGCTCTTGAAACAGAATTCTTACACAGGCAAATCAACTGTGTTCTGGATCAGCTGAAGCTTCTGTGCAGTCTTTGAGGACAGTCCCATATAAAGCACACTGCAACAATTACAGTAATCCAAATGGCTTGAGTGACAATGTGTAAGGCCTCATTATCCAGAAAATACTTTATCTTTTTCATAAATAAAGCTGTGAAAACGGTTTTCCTCAACTGGGTGCTTCAAGCAGAAACTGTGAATCCCTTGGATTCTAGGCCAACACTTGCACAGAGAAGCGTGACCTCATGCAGAAACAGAGATGGAATTTGTCTGCAGCTAAAGGATATTCATGTCCAATGCCATGCCAGCTTGAAGCAGAGCTGTTACACAGGCAAATTATGTAGCTGTTTAACCGCTACATAAAACTGCTGGAGGAGGTTATCTGAATGGTTTGGGCTCAGTCATCATCAGTATACCCAGTGATACATCCTGACCCTGGGCCAGCCAAGTGATGCTATTGATGGCCTGTCCCAGTGTCTGCAGGCTGCTGGTCAGTATGGGGAGCAACAAATTTAAACTTAATCTTGAAAAGACCAATATTTGGATGTGGCTGTGGATATCTGAGCCTTCCAAATCTGGGGATTTTCCATCTTTAGTTTGGATGGAGTAGTATTTCCCCATTGGTGGGGAAGACTGGTGCACAATTTCCATGTCATTTGGGCCAACTCCTGGACTGGAAAGCCTTTCACACACTTACTCATGCCCTAGTCACCTTGCAAATTGACAATTGGAAGTCTACATTAGGCTGCCATTGAAGACCATTTGGAAGCTACACCTGGTCCAGAATGGGGTGGCATGAGTAGTGAGGGGTTATACTGGTTGCCAGTCGGTTTCTGGGGACAATTCAAGATGCTAATTACCACCTATAAAGACCATCATTGCATAGAGCCTGCTTATTTGAGGGACCATCTGTCTCCAGCTGTTGCTGCTCATCTGGTGAGATCAAGCAGAGTGGATGTGCTTCGGGTCCATTTGATTAAGCTATCATCTATCAGACCTGGGAACTATACCTTCTTTTTTGCAGCACCTATCATGTGGAATAGCATCCCTCCAGAGATCTGTTTAAACTCAGAATCATTTGGATTTGGACAACCTCTAAACTTTATTATCAATATGTGTGTGTGTGTGTATGTATATATATATATATATACACACATACATACATACATACATATACACACACACACACACACACACACACACACACACACACAC